TTTAAGACATCTGCATCATCAACTTTTAATTTCTTTTCTTCTTCAAGCTCTTTTTCTCTTTTATAAATACAATTCAACCTAATCTTCAAGTTAAGTAAAGCCTTATTTTTTATCATAAAGAATTTATTAATATTTAAAAGTATAAGTTATGTCTAATTACTTGATAATATTGCTCAATAGTTTTTGAGAGAACTTTTTATTCATCATATTTATACATGCATAAGAGATTAACTGTTTTGTCCTTTTCTTTAACTTCCTGTTGAAATTTAAAATCAATTCGCTCAATTTAATATTTGAAATAATAAAAAATTTACAATATAATCAATATATCCTTCTGTAGATAATTTATTTAAGTATTTTTGAGTGTCTTTCAAACTTTGCAGAGCTATTTCACTAATCTTATTTATTTCAAAAACATTTAAAGTATTTACAAATATTTTTAAAATTAATTTTACTGCTTTTTCTTCGAGGTGTTTGTATTTTCTCATGATTCTAAAAATTCTACCTGCAATTAAACTATATTTTCTTTCTACTATTTGAGCAATGTGTCTAATTTTCATTTTATTTATTATCTTCTCAACGTTAACAGAATACATCTCTTTGCCATTAATAAAGTCGATTGAAATGAATTTTCCACCATCTCTTTTCATAACACGAAGAAAATTTTACAAGTTTTCGTCTTTGACAGCTTAGGTATCTTTTCCTTTTGCTTTTATAAGCAAATTCTTAATCTAGTCTAGAGTCATGGGTTCAGTAGTTTTTATTTCTCTAGCAGGACCTATCCTTTAGCTGTTATCAAGCATTAGCTTTATAATCTACTTTGCTTAAACGCTTAGTTTACCTTCTGCTAACTTACTGATCTCTTCTGTTCTAAAGACATGGATAAACTATCTTACATTTATTTTATAACTCAAAGGCTACTTGTTAGCAGGATCGTAAATTAAATAATCATCGGATGTATTTTATTGTTCTTCCTTTTTAGCTTCCTTTTAAGGTAGTGCTATTTCTAATATATTTAAATCCCTATTAATTTTGATTTTTCAAATGAATAATTAGAACCTAATTCGTTTTGCAAAAGTTCATCATCATCAATTAAATTCTTTTTAGTTTTCTTGACTTATTTTCTAATTTGTCCTTCTACTTTATCCTTATCTTCTCCTTTGTATTTTTAAATAAAATAACTTTAAAGTTATTACACGAGCCATAATTAAGTAACACTTTATTTACCTCTTTTTCTTTTGGTGTTTAAATCAGATTTCTTGCTTTAAGCCTTTTCTTTATCATCCTTTAACTCGCTTAAATCTTCTGATTCAAAGTTGTTGCCAGAGCCAGAATCAAATCTATTTATGTAATTGTTTTTGGCAAGCAATATAAAAGCTTCTTTAAGCTTCTTCTTAATGATGCTAGCTTTACCTTTTATAAATCTATTTTTAAAAATAATCCTCAAGTGACTTATATAATTTTACTATCTTCTTTTTCATATTTCTTCTTTTCAGCTAAAATGTGAGAGCAGCATTCATCGAATGAGCCTTGAGAGTTATTTAGATAAAATTCAATAATTGATTCTGCATCCAATCCATAGAGCTGCTTGATGTGCTTCATATAAGAAGGATATCTCAATATGCTTAATACCATCTATTAATTGACAAAATATAAATTTGTATTGCCACTCTTATCAAACTAAACCACTCCATTCTTAATTAATAAAATCATTAAATATTTAATTGTCTTTTCATCAAGAGTGCTCTTTAATGAGAATATTAATTGCGAGAGAGAAATCTAACCCCTACTATTAATTGCTTCACAAATTAATCCACTCTCTTCTCCAAATTCTTCATCTACTATCTACTTAATGAGCTTCGATTGTAAAACTACTAATTAATTATTCTATTGTTCCATTTCTTATTTTCTAATAGATAACAACACTTACTTTTTATAAATATAATATCTTATATATAATTTATTTAGCAAGCAATAAGAAAATAAATTCACAAGTCCTAGACAGTTTACTACCAAATCATTCATTCACAGATGAAAACAAATAATATCTTTTTAATATAAAATAAAATAAAACAAATAGGTTCTTCTAATTTAAAATGAATTTGCTCAAATTAATTTTTCTTTTTCTTCAAAAAATAAAATATTTTAGATGATCTCTATTTACTATTTCAAATTTTGTTAATTAAATTTACTCTCTAGTCTATTCTGATATTCTATAATACCATTTAAATAAAAATAAACAAATAAATAAATAATTTATTAATCTAAATAGGTTTTTAATCAGCAACAAAAACAAAAGGGGGTGGGGTTTAATGCATTGCCAGCAAAAAATATATTTTTTGTTATACTTATGATTATTCAAATTGAATAACTTACTTTAGTTGTTTAAAGCTATTCTCTATATATTTTTTTTTAGGTGTATATTATTTTATATTATAAGTTTAAATAATAATGTTAAATAATTTTTATGTGATATCTTTTCATATAACAAAATATATAAATTAATACTTAATAATTAATTAATCATTTAATTTATTTGTTCTTTTTATCCATTTATAATTAATTTTCATAAATCTCTCTTCAATATTTTTGAAAAAAAAAAAATGATATAATAGATTAAATAATATAACATATTAGAAGAAGTAATTATTAATTTTTTTATCAATATCCTTTAAATTTATATAAATTAATAAAAAAAGTTTATAAACTCTTAACTTTTATCTCATTAGGCTCTCCATATTGATCTGACGTATATTTAATTTATAAATATTATTTTTATTATTATTGATATTTTTTGTATATTTAATTTTCAATTTATTTAAATAAATAATTTTTATTATAGAAATTATCATCATTATTCATTGATTTTTATTAAAACAAAAAATTTTTAGCTTTTAATTTTCATATCAATTTTTAATTATTTATTATTCATTTTTTATTTTGATATTTTTTCTTCATTTTTTGCTTATTAAAACTTACACTTAAAAAACAGTTTATTAGTTTTGGATTATAATATTTTTAATTATAAAAGTTAATTTAAAACATTAAAGCTCTTTTAGTTTATTTGATTTCTTTTCCTTTTATTATGATTTCTTTTTTTTTCACTATTATTAATTTTATAAATTATTAATAAATCTTATAATTTCATATTTTTTCTTCATTTTTTCCTTCTAATTAACTAGAGTGAAATGCCTATTTAATTTATGAAAGGCAAAATGTAATATATTTTAAAAGCATAATAAATAAAGCTAAATTAGCTTAAAAAAGCTTTATTTTTGAGTTTTTAGAATGCTTTAAATTCACGAAATGTAAAATTTCAAATATTATATACTATCAATCCTCATTAATTAACAACAACCCCCCTCCTCTCTCCACCCTAAATTTTTACCCTTTAACTCGCTTTTTAAAAATTTGTATGGCAACTTACTCTATTTGATGATATATTTTTTCTTCAATATTTAAAAAGATGTAATTAAATTGGTGAGGAAGGTGCATCAGGCTTAGGTTCTGCTTTAGCAAATTGCATTAATCTCTCAAATTTGACACTTTGCCTTGGGTAAAAACAGTTTATTTGTTTTGGATTGTTATATTTTTAATTATAAAAACTAATTAAAAACAATAAAGTTCTTTTTTCTTTTTCTTTTTATTGTGCTTGCTTTTTTTTGTTCTTTCTTTGCTAATTTATTTAGCTCATCCTTTTATTTTCAAATTTTTTACTTTTATTATTAATTAATTAATTAATCTTATTATTTCATATTATTTCTTCATTTTTACCTTCTAATTTACTATTTAATGATATATTTTTTTCTTCAATATTTAAAAAGTTTGAATTTAATTGGTGCTATGGGTGCATCAGGCTTAGGTTCTAGTTTAGCAAATTGCATTAATCTCTCAAATTTGACACTTAACCTTGAGTAAAAACAGTTTATTTGTTTTGGATTGTTATATTTTTAATTATAAAAACTTATTAAAAACAATAAAGCTCTTTTTTCTTTTTCTTTTTATTATGCTTGCTTTTTTTTATTCTTTCTTTGCTAATTTATTTAGCTCATCCTTTAATTTTCAAATTTTTTACTTTTATTATTAATTAATCTTATTATTTCATATTATTTCTTCATTTTTTCCTTCTAATTTACTATTTAGTGATATATTTTTTCTTCAATATTTAAAAAGATGTAATGAAATTGGTGACAAAGGTGCATCAAACTTAGGTTCTGGTTTAGCAAACTGCATTAATCTCTCAAATTTGACACTTAATCTTAAGTAAAAACAGTTCATTTGTTTTGGATTGTGATATTTTAATTATAAAAACTAATTAAAAAAAATATAGCTCTTTTTTCTTTTTCTTTTTTTTGTAATTGCTTTTTTTTATTTTTTCTTTGTTAATTTATTTAGCTCATTCTTTTATTTTCAAATTTTTTACTTTTATTATTAATTAATTAATTAATCTTATTATTTCATATTATTTCTTAATTTTTTCCTTCTAATTTACTATTTAATGATATATTTTTTCTTCAATATTTAAAAAGATATAATTAAATTGGTGACAAAGGTGCATCAGACTTAGTATCTGGTTTAGCAAACTGCATTAATCTCTCAAATTTGACACTATACCTTGAGTAAAAACAATTTATTTGTTTTGGATTGTGATATTTTTAATTATAAAAACTAATTAAAAACAATAAAGCTCTTTTTTCTTTTTCTTTTTATTGTACTTGCTTTTTTATATTCTTTCTTTGTTAATTTATTTAGCTCATCCTTTTATTTTCAAATTTTTTACTTTTATTATTAATTAATTAATCTTATTATTTCATATTATTTCTTCATTTTTTCCTTCTAATTAACTATTTAATGATATATTTTTTCTTAAATATTTAAAAAGTAACAATAAAATTGGTGACGAAAGTGCATCAGGCTTAGGTTCTGGTTTAGCAAATTGCATTAACCTCTCAAATTTGACACTTAACCTTGAGTAAAAACAGTTTATTTGTTTTGGATTGTGATATTTTTAATTATAAAAACTAATTAAAAACAATAAAGCTCTTTTTTCTTTTTCTTTTTATTGTACTTGCTTTTTTATATTCTTTCTTTGTTAATTTATTTAGCTCATCCTTTTATTTTCAAATTTTTTACTTTTATTATTAATTAATTAATTAATCTTATTATTTCATATTATTTCTTCACTTTTTCCTTCTAATTAACTATTTAATGATATATTTTTTCTTCAATATTTAAAAAGTGTGAATTAAATTGGTGACGAAGGTGCATCAGGCTTAGGTTCTGGTTTAGCAAATTGCATTAATCTCTCAAATTTGACACTTGACATTAAGTAAAAACAGTTTATTTGTTTTGGATAGTGATATCTTTAATTATAAAAACTAATTAAAAACAATAAAGCTCTTTTTTCTTTTTCTTTTTATTGTGCTTACTTTTTTTTATTCATTCTTTGTTAATTTATTTAGCTCATTATTTTATTTTCAAATTTTTTACTTTTATTATTAATTAATTATTCTTATTATTTCATCATTTTTTCCTTCTAATTAACTATTTAATGATATATTTTTTCTTCAATATTTAAAAAGATATAATTAAATTGGTGACAAAGGTGCATCAGACTTAGTATCTGGTTTAGCAAATTGCATTAATCTCTCAAATTTGACACTATACCTTGAGTAAAAACAATTTATTTGTTTTGGATTGTGATATTTTTAATTATAAAAACTAATTAAAAACAATAAAGCTCTTTTTTCTTTTTCTTTTTATTGTGCTTGCTTTTTTTTGTTCTTTCTTTGTTAATTTTTTTAGCTCATCCTTTTATTTTCAAATTTTTTACTTTGATTATTAATTAATTAATCTTATTATTTCATATTATTTCTTCATTTTTTCCTTCTAATTAACTATTTAATGATATATTTTTTCTTAAATATTTAAAAAGTTAGAATTAAATTGGTGCAATGGGTGCATCAGGCTTAGGTTCTGGTTTAGCAAATTGCATTAATCTCTCAAATTTGACACTTAACCTTGAGTAAAAACAGTTTATTTGTTTTGGATTGTGATATTTTTAATTATAAAAACTAATTAAAAACAATAAAGCTCTTTCTTTTTCTTTTTATTGTGCTTGCTTTTTTTTGTTCTTTCTTTGTTAATTTTTTTAGCTCATCCTTTTATTTTCAAATTTTTTACTTTTATTATTAATTAATTAATTAATCTTATTATTTCATATTATTTCTTCATTTTTTCCTTCTAATTAACTATTTAATGATATATTTTTTCTTCAATATTTAAAAAGTTAGAATTAAATTGGTGCAATGGGTGCATCAGGCTTAGGTTCTGGTATAGTAAATTGCATTAATCTCTCAAATTTGACACTTAACCTTGAGTAAAAACAGTTAATTTGTTTTGGATTGTTATATTTTAATAAAAAAAACTAATTAAAAAACAATAAAGCTCTTTTTTCTTTTTCTTTTTATTGTGCTTGCTTTTTTATATTCTTTCTTTGTTAATTTATTTAGCTCATCCTTTTATTTTCAAATTTTTTACTTTTATTATTAATTAATTAATTAATTAATTAATCTTATTATTTCATACTATTTCTTCATTTTTTCCTTCTAATTAACTATTTAATGATATATTTTTTCTTCAATATTTAAAAAGATATAATGAAATTGGTGACGAAGGTGCATCAGGCTTAGGTTCTGGTTTAGCAAATTGCATTAATCTCTCAAATTTGACACTTGACCTTAGGTAAAAACAGTTTATTTGTTTTGGATTGTTATATTTTTAATTATAAAAACTAATTAAAAACAATAAAGATTATTTTTCTTTTTCTTTTTATTGTGCTTGCTTTTTTTTTTTCAACTCATCCTTTTATTTTCAAATTTTTTACTTTTATTATTAATTAATTAATCTTATTATTTCATATTATTTCTTCATTTTTTCCTTCTAATTAACTATTTAATGATATATTTTTTCTTCAATATTTAAAAAGAAGTAATTAAATTGGTGCTTTGGGTGCATCAGGCTTAGGTTCTGGTTTAGCATAATGCATTAATCTCTCAAATTTGACACTTGATCTTGCGTAAAAACAGTTTATTTGTTTTGGATTGTTATATTTTTAATTATAAAAACTAATTAAAAACAATAAAGCTCTTTTTTCTTTTTCTTTTTATTGTGCTTGCTTTTTTTTTTTCAACTCATCCTTTTATTTTCAAATTTTTTACTTTTATTATTAATTAATTAATCTTATTATTTCATACTATTTCTTCATTTTTTCCTTCTAATTAACTATTTAATGATATATTTTTTCTTCAATATTTAAAAAGATATAATTAAATTGGTGACATAGGAGCATCAGACTTAGGTTCTGGTTTAGCAAATTGCATTAATCTCTCAAATTTGACACTTGACCTTGAGTAAAAACAGTTTATTTGTTTTGGATTGTTATATTTTTAATTATAAAAACTAATTAAAAACAATAAAGCTCTTTTTTCTTTTTATTTTAATTGTGCTTGCTTTTTTATATCCTTTCTTTGTTAATTTATTTAGCTCATCCTTTTATTTTCAAATTTTTTACATTTATTATTAATTAATTAATCTTATTATTTCATATTGTTTCTTCATTTTTTCCTTCTAATTAACTATTTAATGATATATTTTTTCTTCAATATTTAAAAAGAAGTAATTAAATTGGTGACGAAGGTGCATCAGGCTTAGGTTCTGGTTTAGCAAATTGCATTAATCTCTCAAATTTGACACTTAACCTTGAGTAAAAACAGTTTATTTGTTTGTGATATTTTTAATAAAAAAAACTAATTAAAAACAATAAAGCTCTTTTTTCTTTTTCTTTTTATTGTGCTTGCTTTTTTTTGTTCTTTCTTTGTTAATTTATTTAACTCATCCTTTTATTTTCAAATTTTTTACTTTTATTATTAATTAATTAATTAATCTTATTATTTCATATTATTTCTTCATTTTTTCCTTCTAATTAACTATTTAATGATATATTTTTTCTTCAATATTTAAAAAGAAGGAATTAAATTGGTGACGAAGGTGCATCAGACTTAGGTTCTGGTTTATCAAATTGCATTAATCTCTCAAATTTGACACTTGACCTTAGGTAAAAACAGTTTATTTGTTTTGGATTGTTATATTTTTAATTATAAAAACTAATTAAAAACAATAAAGCTCTTTTTTCTTTTTCTTTTTATTGTGCTTGCTTTTTTATATTCTTTCTTTGTTATTTTATTTAGCTCATCCTTTTATTTTCAAATTTTTTACTTTGATTATTAATTAATTAATCTTATTATTTCATATTATTTCTTAATTTTTACCTTTTAATTAACTATTTAGTGATATATTTTTTCTTCAATATTTAAAAAGATGTAATGAAATTGGTGACAAAGGTGCATCAAACTTAGGTTCTGGTTTAGCAAATTGCATTAATCTCTCAAATTTGACACTATACCTTGAGTAAAAACAGTTTATTTGTTTGTGATATTTTTAATAAAAAAAACTAATTAAAAACAATAAAGCTCTTTTTTCTTTTTCTTTTTATTGTGCTTGCTTTTTTTTGTTCATTCTTTGTTAATTTATTTAACTCATCCTTTTATTTTCAAATTTTTTACTTTTATTATTAATTAATTAATTAATCTTATTATTTCATATTATTTCTTCATTTTTTCCTTCTAATTAACTATTTAATGATATATTTTTTCTTAAATATTTAAAAAGTGAGAATTAAATTGGTGCAATGGGTGCATCAGGCTTAGGTTCTGGTTTATCAAATTGCATTAATCTCTCAAATTTGACACTTGGTCTTAGGTTAAAATAGTTTATTTGTTTTGGATAGTGATATCTTTAATTATAAAAACTAATTAAAAACAATAAAGCTCTTTTTTCTTTTTCTTTTTATTGTGCTTGCTTTTTTTTGTTCTTTCTTTGTTAATTTATTAAGCTCATCCTTTAATTTTCAAATTTTTTACTTTTATTATTAATTAATCTTATTATTTCATATTATTTCTTCATTTTTTCCTTCTAATTAATTATTTAATGATATATTTTTTCTTCATTATTTAAAAAGAAGTAATTAAATTGGTGACGAAGTTGCATCAGGCTTAGGTTCTGGTTTAGCAAACTGCATTAATCTCTCAAATTTGACACTATACCTTGAGTAAAAACAGTTTATTTATTTTGGATTGTGATATTTTTAATTATAAAAACTAATTAAAAACAATAAAGCTATTTGAATTTAATTGATAGCTTTTATTTGATTTATTTATTTATCTTTATTATACCACTAATACTATTTTATTTATTAATTTAAGAAATATTTTTTAGTTTAAAAGTTTAATCTATTTTGATATTTATTTAAAATTTACATAAATTTATTATAAAATATTAGCCTAAATAATGTATCATAAAAATTCAAAGTTAAAGTTATAAAGAAGTGTCTTAAATCAAAAAGATTAGTTGTTTTAAAAAAATAATTCTGATTATAAAGAAGTCACGAAAAAAGGATGAATAAATATTAAATGTTTGAGTAATATTATATAATATTTTGAAATTTTTTTTTAAATTTAAAATATAAACCGATAGATTGATAGATTTTATTATTGATTTTATATTTATAAAT